TGTTCTTTTTATGCTGTGTTTGTTTAACTCTGCAAAGCTGTGTTACTTTGCCTGTCTAAAAAACTTGATTGGTCTAATAAAGAGCTGAACAGCCAATAGCTAGGCAGGAGAGGGATAGGCAGGGCTGCCAGGCACAAAGAATAAATAGAAGGAGAAAAAGGGAAGGGAGGGGAGCAAGAAAATGAGAAAGAGTGGAGGATGCCAGGGGTCCAGCCACCCAGTCAGACATGGAATAAGAAGGAAAGAAAAGATATACAGAAATAGAAACAGGTAAAAGCCCAGAGGCAAAAAGCAGATGGAATAATTTAAGAAAAGCTGACTTGAAATAAGCCAAGATAAGGCTGGGTATTAATAAGTAATAATAAATCTCCATGTGATTATTTGGGAGCTGGGTGGAGCCTCCCCCACCCCCCCAAGGAGCAAAGAGAAAAGAGTGAAAAAAAAAAACCTATAATTCAGTAAGAAGTGGTAGGGCCCCATTAGGTCTTCCCAAATCCAGGAATGGCTCTTAACAGGCCCAGTGTGGTGCAGGGCCAAGTGTAGACAACCAGCCACACCTGCTACAAGATTGTGATTACAATGGCTGTATCACACCCTTATCTATAAGGAGGAAATGGATATAATAGGAGAGGAGGGGTAAGAGTAATCAGAATTCACTCTATACACATATAAATTGACAAAGAACAAATTAAATCAATAAAAAAGAAAGTAACTGCACAAAAAGTTTCTTTATAGTATTTTTGTATTTTCCAGTTATGAACTGTTATGTTCCCTCACATTTAAACAGTTATATCAAAATATTTTTATTTCTCTTAATTATACATCTCTTTGTTGGTTAGCATTATTAACTTTACAGGATCTAAAATCACCTAGAAACAAGCTTCTGGCCACTGTCTTAGTCAGTGTTCTATACCTGTGAAGAGACACCATGACCACGACAACTGTTATAAAGGAAAGCATTTAATTGGGGTGGTTTGCTTACAGTTCAGAGGCTTAGTCCATTATCATCATGGTGGGGCATGGCAGCATGCAAGCAGACATGGTGCTAGAGAGGTAGCTGAGAGTTCTACATCTGGATCCACAAACAGTTGAAAGTGGCCGAACTATTAGGCCTAGCTTGAGCTTCTGAGACCTCATACCTCCCCACCCCCAGTAATCCACTTCCTCCAGCAGAGCCACACCTACCCCAGCAAGGCCACACCTCCTAATAGTGCCACTCCCTGAGCCTATAAGGGGCCATCTTCTTTCAAATCACTACAGCCATACTTTTGAGAGATTGTCTTGATTAAGTTCATTGAGACAGGAAGATTAGCCCTAAAAGTGGGCATTATCATCCTCTGAACTTAGGCCCTGGACTGAATACAAAAGAGAAAGCCAGCTGAGCACCAACATTCACCATTCTTTGCTTTCTGTGGATGCAATGTGACCCACTGGCTTCTTCAGTTCTTACTGCCATGATTTAAGTCATTGAGATGGACTGGACCCTCAAAATGTGAGCCAAAGTAAGCTCTTTCTCTCTAAAGTTGTGTGTCATGGCATTTTATCACAGCAAGAGGAGAAGTTACTAATACAGCATCTGAGCTTTAAGGTTTATTTTTATTATTTTTATGTATGTGTATGCATGTTTGTCTGTCTGTAGACGCATGCACACAAATGCAGGTGTCTACAAAGGCCTGAGACATTGGGTTTCTAGAGCTGAAGTTATGAAGGGTTGTGAGTCTCCTGATAATGGGTTCTAGGAATCAAACTCAGGCCCTCTGCAAGACAAGCAAGCATTGTTATTAAGAAAGCTCAGCCATATAAGCAGGCCTACAGCATCTGTTTTATTAATGTGTCATGATTCTGGTTATGGGTCACATGCATTTTCATATGTTCAGTAATTCATTGTTAGATGTTGTGTGTTGTGAATTTGAAAGTGTGTTTCATTGGCATCTTAATTTAAATAGAATTGAGGGGTTTTTCAGTGTAATGTGTTTTGATATTTCAAACCTTATGGTTTTGTTGGATAAGTCTAGTTTACTGGAGTCTCTGAAGATTTTGATTCAAACCTCAGGTAATTTCTACTCTTTAATTTAAGAAACAATCTTGGAATTTTGAATTTAGAAAGCAACTATAATACTTTACAATTAATTCAGAAGAAATTGATATATTTCTAATATAATCTTGTCCCCTAGAATGTGGTATGATTTTTCATTAACATGGATGTTATATTTTATTACTAGAGTGATCCATTTCCTCAAAAAATATGACTCATGATTGCAATTATCCTTGTGTTACTTTATTGTGATTAGCAGAAAGTCTCTAATTAGCTAATTGGAAATTGGGATGCAGCATAATTATGGTTTTCCTATAAAGGACATTTCGCATCATTCAAAGCATCCCATCTACGTGACGTAAGGAGATACTTGTACAGGGCAATAAGATTTTTTCAGCTGTGAGAGAAACTTAGTTTTAAATTTAACAGTCACTCTTATTTGTGAATTAAAGCATAGCAATTAATATTTTATTATCTTTAACTATTGCATAGGACCTGGGAACATTTAAATGATTTTGTAAGGATTAAGTCGAACAATAATATTAATATTGTAAAAAGTCCTATGAACCATCCAAATGACTTTTCAATCTACAAATAACTTCAGTGAATAAGAAACTATACTAAAATAGTTTATAAACATAAACTTGTTAATAGAGGACATTAATATATTTTTAGACTTTCTACTACATTAGTTTTATTTTCAAAGGACAATATTTCAGGCATTATTCAACATGTCAAGTTGAGTAATCTAAACTGAAAATCTTCTCAACTTGTTATGCTAATCACATTTTATGTTGTGTATTTGTCTATATATCCATTTAAACCCAAACATTCCGTTAGCATGTTTTTGACTTCTCATTTATAAAGTTATCCTTGTTCTAATTTAGCAGAAATCAATATCTCAGATAACATCTCTTCTTTGTTCTGTCCATATGAAACATACAAGCAAATATGAAACCACTATCATAACATTCAATGCAATCCTAAAATAGGATATTTAGCTTTATTGATCACATTTGCAGTTTCTATTAATGGATAATTTTCCTGGATATGGGTCACACAAACTTTTCACATGTTCAGCATTTTGTAGTTCTACATTAGATATTGTCAATGTGACATTGTTAAACTTTTTCTTGGCTTATTATTTAAAATAAATGTTGAAAGTTTTATTTTGTTCACTGTACCATATAAAATTTTACTCAAAGCCATCGTGGGTAGAAGACTGCTCTAACTTCATAAGGTTTATATTACTTTTCAAATCGTTTTCATGTGTGTAATCATCAGTGTTTCTTAGAATATCTCCAGTAGTAGCTTTACTAGACTGGAAGCTCTGTCCATATTTATGAAATCATTTATCCTGAAATATTATTTATTCTAAGAAGACAAGCTGTTTTGCTGAGGTTATGCTTAATAACTTTCAATTTTCAAATATTATATCATTCAGTAGAGTAATTCAAGTCATTTTGTGTTTCAATTCTCTTAAAAATATTTACTATGAATTTTCTGATAGACCTTGTAAATAGACTTAGTTATCCCCCAGTGACTGAATGGTTTATAGACTATTCGGCTGAACATAAATTCCATTTTAAAATTCAAGTGTTTGGTATAGCGTGTAGAGTATGATTCACTCTTGCAGAGGTCAAAGTTTAATTAGTGTTTTTGCCAAGGACTTACACACATTTCCTACAAAGCAACAGAAGAAACGTATGCATTTAAGTGCAGCATGAAAGAAGAGCCACTACCTCCAGCTGCTCAGGTCTCTGGCGAGCTAGTCAGAGAGGCTCCAGTTACATTTGGTTCCTGCGGAACACATGTTGCTCATTTATTGTACATGTGCTGCAATGAACTTGGACAAATTGGATCCAAAAAGCTACAGGTGCTCTTCATTTTAATTCACACTTAGTAGACACCCGTAGAACTTAAATATGCATGGGTCCTTTCATAATCTAATTAGGAGACCATTTATCTATCATTAGTGTGTGAGTTTCTATCCCCTTTTGGTTAAGGTTTCTTGATATGTCACTATGCTGTGCATATTTAACAACTTACATGTTGTTTTCTGGTAAAGAACTCAAGTCCTTTTGAAAAATTGTCTTCATTAGTTTCTGGTAGATCTAAAGCTGTTCTGACCCCAATGCCTTCTATAAATTAATTATTATTTAGCATATAGTTTGATATCAGACAGTGATACACTTGGAGTATATGCACAAGTGCTTCTCAAGGCTATCCTATTTTCACCGAAGCGGCTTTTTATTTTAAAATAATTTATAGGCGATTTAATTAAAAAAGTGTTACTATTCTTTTGCATTATGGACATTTACATGGAAGCATACAGGGCGACCCTGAAAAACTATTTCCCATGCATGTAATTTGCAGATATTAGAGACAATGGTCTGCCTTTGAATCAAACTCTATTTTTCTCTTTATTATCATTTACTATATTAAAAAGTAAATCCAATCAGTTCTTTCCAGAGACGATTTTCTGTCTTTCACGAACACAAAAACTGCTGGCTGCCATCCATTTTCAATATGAGTGTTTAAGTAACACTGAAACCTCTCAGACTTCTCATCTATTGTTATTGTTTTTTGTACTCTCAGTAGCACAAACATGTTGATTGGAGTTGTAGATGGTATTTGTTTATATTTCCTTCCCATAAAAAATGGTATGCAAATTTCCCACTTTTCCTGAAACTGCTTTTAAGAATCAACAATTTAATTTCTTGGCGAGTGCATTCCATATGAATACTAATTTTTGAGGATGCCTTTGGAAATAATCTTGCATGAATCATATATAACATATAAATTATAATTATGTTACACTTTAATAAAGAAAAGGTTTTATATGAATATGTCTTACCTATGATATAATGAATATATTTATTGATATTGTAATATATAAAGCAGCTAATTAATATTCAAATTAGGCTTCAAGTAACTCAATTCCTTAATATTCACTTTTATTAGCCATCACATTTTCTATATGTGTATTTCAGCAAAAATAAGCACAATATTTAGTTCCTATCTTAGAAGTAGAATCATGAATACCATTTCTTTATTATGACTTTGTGAAAAAAACAATTTCATACAGTTCAATTAAGTACATTATTACTCAGAGAAAAAGGGGTTAAAGTGATTTTATTTAAAAAAAAATCTTATTTGCTTTCACTTTGTTTATTTCTTTAAATTCTACCATTTACTCTCTTGTATAATCGGCTCCTGGGAATGAAGCAAAGGCAGTCCAATGTCATCTACACAGAATTTCTGTTGGCACCACAGCAGCATGTCACTCATCAGTTTACAAGCTTGCAACACACTATATGGTTTTATTGCCATTTTTATACATTTCTATTCAGAAACTCTTTAAAACTGTTGGTGTTGAGTGTAAACCTAGTGGGCAAATACTCTGACTCACTTGATTCTCTGTGTATTTCAAATCAAAAGAGGGGCACAACCTGTGCCTGGTGGTATGCGAATGTAGGCAGGCCAGAAAGATTCTCTATAACTTCGTATGTGAACTTGCACTTTGAAATTTTCCTTTCATTTTTTGCAAACTGAAGATCACAGTACAATTTAAATAGCCTTAAGTTTTCTCAGAGTGCTACTGTGTGCTGAATAAAGGCTGAACGATCATTGCAGTGTCAGGGGGTTACTGTTCAGCTGTTCAGGATCATGAGATGATATCTCAACACTCATAAAACAGAGGATTCAAAACACAGGGGCGTGCATGGAAGTACGGATCATTATGACAGTCTTGGAAGTCATCCACAAGAAACATCAGAACCCTGGAGGCCAAAATAACACTACCAAATTAACATTTACAGCTTTTGTTCAAAATGAAATCCAATACGTAGGGAAAATGCACACTGAAACACCTAACGCTAATATAATAATAATTTTATATTTGGCTTATTCCAAAAAGTATTGAGGACCTCAAATAACTTGCATGATGTATTTCCTTAAACATTTTAGATACATAATATTTAATTCTATACAAAACAAATAACTATCTTATACGAGCATGTCCTACAACTGTCCAAAAAGTGAAACCAGTTAGTGAGGCAGAGCATGGGAAGCATGATGATTTCCTTTGCCCAGTTCAATTCAGAAGCGAGAGGGGTAATTTTGGCTCCTGGGATCTGAAAATTCTGTCTTCCAATTGCGATCTTCGGTCCAAATTTTACATGGTAGTTTCTTCCCACTCAAGCTCAACATCACCTAGAGAAGATAGTAAGATTCCAAACACTATTGAAGTTAACAGTTTAAAAGGCTTTAATCCTTTTTTTAATTTTTGAGATTTTAATATACTTACATCATTTCCTTTTTATCTATCATCCCTCTTTATTCACCCCCCCCCATTAATTATTGCTGAATTTTTAATGGAAAAGTGTGATCAAGGCAGGAAGGCTAGTATCTCAACTTAGATAATAGAGAAATGAAATACATGACACCGGCACTACAGTAGCTTCTAAGGCATTTTGAAATTATAGTTATTATGACGTTAATAGTCCTGCAGTAGACAGTAAGCTAGTGAATGGGGTGTGCATTGTGTCTCCTTACCTTCCATGGCATCCAAAGAGTCCATCTTCTGGAGTGTGGAGTAGTTAACAAAGCAGACGGGTTGATGGTTTCCTTTATTTGATAAAAGATCCAGAATGCACTGGTGTAAGAAGATGTATTGTGCCTGGACAGCAAAGGAAGAAAGTTTCAACAAAGGGCAGAGTGGGGATGTTTCTTATAAAGAGGGTTATTTTGTTACTGTGAAAGATGGCCTGAATCTGACAAGTGTGAATTATCTAAGTGAGAAGCAGAATATGCTGTCGTTTATAAATGATTTTCTCCCATTTCCATTGTAAGATTTACTAAACTCTCAAGGCTTCTTACTGGTTTAATAGGCTGTTTTATAAAACATTTGCCATTAAGTGACAAGTATGAATATAGTCTTTCTTGCTGTATGAAAAGTAGTAAATATTACGGAACCTAGATGTGAGTTTCCTTTTTTATGTAAGACATACTTCAGTAATTCCTACTCATTTAAAGATAACCTTCTTGGAAAAACACAGATGCTGTATTTATGTGTGAAATTTATGAGTGAGCACCTTCATATAACAAGTAGCATTTTTAAATATATTTAGTAATTTTGCTAATCACTGGGACATGTGGCTAGCCCAATGTCAAAGACCTGTTCTCAGTTTGTGAATAGAAGTTAGTTGCTATTGAAGTATCTTAACATGTAAATTCTGGGCAAAGATTTCTAATGTTCCATTGCATGTCGATTGATCTAGGACCATCTGCATTTCAAATGCTAATGCCAACCTGTTTCCCTTACTGGCAAGTTTCTTCAGACTATGAAAATGTATATTTTAGACCATCTTTTTTCATGCCTGTGGAACACACCTGGCCTTAAAGGAATAGCATTGAATGTTTTATTTAAACATATGTATGTAATTGATATTGAGAAAATTCTTAAGAATGGCCATTTTAAGTGATTATATTTATACATATTAGTATAATGCTTTTAAATCCCTTTGGGAATTTTTCAATTGAAATTGTCTTCTAGGATAGCTTGTCATTATTAGCAATGCTTATTTCTTTTTGGGCTCTAAAACCTTTCCAATAATGCTTCGTCACTTGAACGTCATCTCCATGAGAACAGAACTCTTTGATATTCGGTGCTAAATTCCAATTGGCAATAACAGTGCCTGGCACACAGCAATTGCAAAATACACATTTGTTTACTTCATCTCATTTAATTTTCACAACTACCCAATCTTTACCATTTAAGGGAAGATGTAATTTAGACAGCACGCAAAAGTCATTAGAGATCAAGTTTTGTATTCAAGTTTTGTACTCACAGGTAATCAAATTACAGCATTTGAGTTTGTTAAGACATGAAGTTGAGGTCAGGAAATAATTTCCTGTATGTTCCTTGTCACAATAACCGTATTTTCCTCAAATTCCCAGTATGCAGTGAATAACATTATTAATAGAAATCAATGATTTCAAAAGAATTCACACTTAGAAATTTTGGTATCTTTCAAAAGCACATTTGAACTTGAAGTCACATTTGTTATTTGAGACTTTGGACTGTTGGGATCTCCTCCTCTCTCTGGAAAGAATGAGGAGTGGAAAACTCTGCCAGGAGCGCAAGCCAAGCTGGGTAAGATTCTTCTGTGGGCTCCAAGAGCCTTCTGGCATCAACAGTTATTGCCAAACAGGCTGTGGGATGTCATGAAAACAGGAGTTTCTCCCTTAGACAGCCACACTACCTTAAGAATTCATTTCTTTTTCCGATGCTTAATTCCCTGGTCCCAGAAATCATAAAACTTGTGCTGGGAGATTTAAAGGACATAACATACATAAAATATGTGGCAAAAGGATAATTAGTCATTTTCTTCTACCACATTGAGTTTATGCCAGCTAACTTCCAGGAGAACCCAGAGCAGGACTGAGACACATCCAGATCAACCCTTAATCAAAGCATCAATAGTATTCCAGGATGTAATAATACTTCAGAACCTTCTCTCAGAATGGCTATCGGATCTCTCTTTCTCCTAGTGATGATCTGTGTCCCTTGGGTGTCTTTCGGCGGCTGGATGATGCTGGGCTTCCTGCCTTCCCACTCGTGTTGTTACTATAGTATGTGCTGAGACAGGAACATCCCTCATAGAAACTGAAATCACTCCTCAGTGCAACAGAAGAAAATAAGCCATGACTCTTCAGCAATACAACAGCGGTTTATAAGGACTGGAACCAGGATATAGTCATTTTTTCTGTTTTTTTATTATAGAGAACATCTAGATAGAGCATAATGTCAGGGAACTAAGACAGATGAAAGGGCTTCAGAGCACTTGTTTTTCTTCAAAGAGGGGATGCAGGGAAACCTTACGGGATGCGTACAGCATCCTGGACGTGATACTCAGTACTTTAGACATTTGCTTTATTTAACATGGTTAACACACTTGTGTAAATGATAGAGTTCACTAAAGAAAAATAGCTCCAAGTCTCAGAGCCCAAAATCAGCACAGCTCAATTCTGAACTCAGTTCTGACTTTGAAACATGCCATTCCCCTATCCAACCTGAAAGATTTTGCTCCAGCTGGCTAGCATATATGCTACAAGAAGTTTATAACATATATCAAGTACTAAGCTGGGCATATTTATTAACTGGTGTTCTTGAACACACTCTATAAAGGTCACTTCCACAAAGTTGAAAATCCTAGCAAGTGATTCAACTTTTATTACTTGAAGATAGACTCTGGACTCTAGGAAACCATCAGTTTCACTCTGTCTTAGACGAGAGAGCCAACCACTAATTCTGTGAATGCTATTGGAAGTCAGCGTTTATCCTTAAGAATTTGAGAAGAAAATGTTAGCTTTCCTTTTACCCTTGTTTCTACTTTTAACTAAAATTAAGAAGGAAATTGAATTTTTATACTGGCTAAGAGTTGGAGTGATATTGGGGTCCTTCCAAGACCCCAGGATAAGGAGCAGCCATCTAATTTGCAGGGCCTACTACAGAAGATAGATGTAGTCTTTTATCATGCCAACATGGATGGGGGAAAGGCTCAGAAGGCCCCACCACTAGTTCAAAAGCTACAGACAGTCCATGGCTGCAGAGGCAGCAAGAGCCAGTTTTCTTTAGGATTGCCAGAGTTTACGCCCTAAACCCAATCCCATGTACATACAGCCAAACTACTTGGACTCAGTATTGTGTGTGTGTGTGTGTATGTGTGTGTGTGTGTGTGTGTGTGTGTGTGTGTGTGTGTGTGTGTGTGAATAATATTTATATAAATAGGACATAAATTTAAGAGGAGGATATGGCTGTGGGAATTTTGTATATTTTATATATTAAAATTTGTAATAATGGTGACTTTAGATTAAACTTGTCAAAAGTTTCTTTATCAAAAATAATTAAATGAGTGACGTAAAAATTAAACCAAATGCAGGGTGCTTTTGAGTCTGGGGATCTGTAGACTACTGAGGTTGTATGTCCATGAAGGTTGCCCTTGTCACATGTCAGATTCCATTTCTGAAGCAGCTTGTGGGAAGAGTGATGCTTCACCCACTTGTTCCCTGTCAGCTCATGAAGGAATGGACATGGACATGATCTAGTTTTAACTAGCTAATGCTTCCAGAATTGGAGTGTCTGTGAAAGATTCCTACAAAGACACTGGATTAAAATTCTACATGCAAGCTTCAGTGAATGAGAAGAAATTGTTATGCTTAGCAATCTTCATGCTTCTTAAAGTAAAGTTGCATCAGATCACAAGATTGTAATATAACAGCATCATTAACAATGATGCTACAATAAGACATGACAAAAACATATCACTCCTTTTTAAAAAAAACCTTTATTTTATTTGATATATATATATATGTATGTATGTATACATATATGTATATATAATTGGCCTGACTGAATGTCTGCACAGCAAGGGTGTACAGTGCTTGTGGAAGCCAGAAGAAGGTGTTGACTCCTCTGGGACTGGAGCTGCAAAAGATTGTGGGTGCTTGGAACTGAGTCGCTGTCTTCTGATAAAGTAGAGCCAGTACTACCTAGATTGTTGCTTGGTTTCCTGGCCCCTGATCTACCAATTTTACCAATAAGAATTATATTAGGACTAAACAAGACAATATATGTAAAGGATCTGATATGTGCTTTATTAACAAAGAAAAATTATATATAATCCAAAGTAATAAATAAAAATTCCAAGCTATTTAGCTAATAACATGCTGCAATAATCACTAATACTAATATGCAACAGACATAAATTCAGACAAATTAAATGCACAGCAATTCATTAAAGTCAACATTTTAGTCAGTTTTTTTCCAACTACAGCTTTTAGCACATTTTAAAGAGATTGCTTTTAATTTATTTTCTACACTTTTCAAAGTTGTTAAATATTAAATGCTAATCTGTGTTGTAAATTGCTTTCTACATGCCGACAAGTAACAATTAATTTGAATGAACAGTCAGTGGTGGTACTCAGTCATATCTTTAGCTCTCCCATAATCTGCACTCGCTCCCCCCACCCCCACCCCACCCCCACCCTGCTCAGCACTTATAGTACAGGAAAACAGGTTATCACAATGCAGGCTGCTGCAGGAAGCTGCTCCCATGTAGCAATTCTAGAGCTGACAACCACGAATTGAATGTGAGCTCAGATATCTTACCAGGTTCTGCACCATGCACATTCTTTCACTCCTTAGTTCAGCCACTAGTCCATAGATGTCCACAAAGTCATGGTCATTTATATGTTGTGTTAAGTGGTCCAGAGCAATAAAAACTCCGGTTCTTCCAACCCCAGCGCTGCAAAAAGGATGAAATTACAGGGACAGTTTTCAGCAACGGCTAAGTCGTGTTGAGGGTGATGTTGATGGTTAAGTACAGTACAGCTACATTTTGAGTTTCTTTGTTCAAGCTGGAGAGAGGTTTTTTTTTTTTTTTTTTTTTTTAATTTGGAGATTCTCTGGATATTGATTTTTTTAATCAAAACTGTGTTTAGGCATAGAAAGATGCTTTGCCCTATTACTTTTTAATCAGAAATACACACACATGCCAAGTGATGGGCTAGCATTTTTTAATGATTTAGGGGCCTCTGAGAAGTATCACACAGCCAATAGACTAAAAAAGTAAATCCTGTACTGGTTGAGATTTAACTTTGCTTTGTGACACCTTAACTCTGCACTTACCTTACCTCTGCCATTTAGACTTTTAGAAAGCTACATTCTGGTTTATCATAACCAATAAAATTATAGGCTGAAGTGAATCTAAATTCACCTTCTATAAGAAACAAAACACTATCATGATTCTAACAAGACCTCATCGGATTGAAGACCATACCAAGCACATACTGGGCTCTACAGACATCTTCCTCACCTGCAATGTACAACCATGGGGGTAGTGTCATGTGCTCTGCTTGTTCTCACCAACTTCACAAAGTGAATCAGAGGGGTGGTGTTTTCAGGAACCCCATGCTCAGGCCAACCAGTAAAGTTACATTGTCGAACAGTCATGCAATCTCCATGCTAGTCAAGGTGGAAGATTAAAAGTGGTAACATTAGACAGACATGCTGGACAAAGTTGACTGAAGTCTTAGCTTTCACAGGTGCTTCATCAAGATGACCCTTTACTAAACAGAACAAATTCTGCTTATGTAATTTCTAATGAGATCTTTTACTGTTACAACTAACAGGATTAAGGCCACCGATGGAGCTCAGTGGCAGAGTTTTTGCTTAGCTTACAGAAGACTGGGGTCAATGCCCAGCACAAAACAAAAGAAGGAAAAGGAAAACTGTGTGTTATCATAAATGGTATCAGTAAAAAATAGATCCTCAAATAGATCTGAAGGTAAATCATAAAATATATTGTAATACAGCATGACATTCTGCAGAGCTTAGATTTTGAAACCATTTGATATGAAACAAGGTATTTAAATTTATTATCTATATAAAACAAGGGTGTTGAGTGTGTAGTATGTTAGAAAGGGAAAAGACCTTACATAAAGAGTCAGTTAAATAATAATACAGTGGTAGCCAATACTGCCTCTTCTGTGGTAGTTCTGGATTTAATAGAAAATGCAGGGGCTGGAGAGACAGCTGCCATGAGGGGGGGAGGCAGGGTCAAAGACAAGTGGACCATTGAAGCTCATTGGCCACCCAGCCTAAATAATATATTGAGCCTGAACCTAGATGCTTCAGGTTTAGTGTGAGTCTCTGTCGGGGAATGAAAAGGTGACAGGCAATCAAATAAAGATTTCCAACATTGATCATTGGCCTCCACATGTATGTATATACCCACATGTACAGGTGAACCTGTGCACACACCACACAAAAATTTGTACATAAATACATGAACCACACATGACACACACACATACACATCAAGTCTTTAGGACTCAGGGATGAATGGTGTTGAAGAAAACTGTTATCTTAAATAATATAGTTTAAACCCAGTGTTTACTGTGTGATATTTTGACCCATTCTGACAATAAAGTTTGCTTTGAATCAGAGGACAGAGCTAGCTACTAGCTGTCCAAAATTAACCATAGAGGATTTGGAGGAGTGAGGACAGATGGAGAGATAGGAAGTAGTAGGGCGGGGATTAGAGAGGATCTTGGCCCTTTTGGATGGAGGAATGAAAGAGATAGAAGGTCACTGGTTGCTTCTCTGCTGTCTCTCTGATCATTCAGGTTCTTACCCCAATATCTGACTCCTGAGTTTATTTTTTTAATTTTAATTTTTATTTTGCAATACAATTCAGTTCGTTTTTATTGAGAAAGAATAATTAGATAAACAGATCAAGTGCTCTAGTAATTTCTTCCTTCTATTTATTTTTCAACTCATGAGTTTGATGCTAATTGGTTGATACAGACTGTAATCACATGATTTGGAATGTGACAGTTACAACAGTTACATACATACCTCAGTGCATGTATCAAAACATTTACAAAACAGTGGGAAAGCATGGTTAAATTCATAGCTATATGGACAAGGGATAATTCTGGTATTCATTTCATTTTGCATATTTAAGTCAGTCATATTTTATACCATATCCATTTCCCTCTTTTTAAAATTTTATTTTACCCTTTCAATTTTCAGATCCCTGATGGTCCAATCGATCTGAATGTCCTCCATAAGTTTTGTAATCACTATGTCTCCAAAGACTGTCACAGGCTTGTTGTCCTCTGGCCAATACTGATGGCATCTGATCTGCATCCAGAGAAAATCAGCAGTCGTGATCCAGCATCATGCTACTCTTTACAACCATCAATGTCACTAAGGCAAAGCTACTTTATAGATTGCAAAGACTTTGATGATCATACACAGCACTAGCTGGAACATTCACAAATATTAATATAATATATAAAGCATCACACTGTAGAGGATATTTCATATATAACTCACCCGTCCTTTCTCAAAACACTGTGTGAGCATTACTAATGTTTTCGCTCTGGTTTCCCATACCATTCTCCAAAAATCTCCAACTGTTCCTGGTAATGGGCCTTGGGTAGCAATAAACTCATTTGGACATAAGTATCCCTAGAAGGATGCAATTCCACACACAGCATCAGTATTTATATTGAAGCAGCATATTTTTAGTTCTGATCAATACCAGAAATATGTTAGTTGCAAAATGACATGATTATTTAAAAATATCGTCTACTTTTGAATGGCAAATAATCTTAGATACTCCAAACTTCCAATATCAACTAGAAACCTCACAATCCAATGTAGTGCAAGGAATTTGATAATAGGGGACACATAATAAATGTGTATGGAGCATGTAATAAACATATGAACCAAATAATGGCTCTGAAGAAAGAAGAGGAAGACTTAAAGATAAGGGAATTTGTGTAGAAAATCAGGGATTCAAATTGTGTGTATTGAATGTGAACTATTAGCTGTTCACATTGAAATGTTATACAACTAGGCATACACATTTGGAATAAAGGAAGAATCTCTAAGTAGAAAGATAATTTGACTTAAAGTCATCAGAACACCAGGAACATGAATTTAGGAGAAGAGAGTAAATTCAAGGATTGTTATCTAGATCATTACAAGGCTTGCAGGTCAAGCTGACGAGAGACAAACAGTGTGATATAGATGAAAGAATTGGAACTTCTGACATATCCAATGGAAGGGTGAAGGTGCTGACATTTGATTTAAGTTTCCTGAGTGGTTAGCCAGTGATCTCATAAGAAGCAGTTTTTGTGTCATGCTTCCTTGGCATCAAAGCATCATTTGAACAGTCTGAATAATAGATAAGGAAGAAGAAGAAGAAGAAGAAGAAGAAGAAGAAGAAGAAGAAGAAGAAGAAGGAGGAGGAGGAGGAGGAGGAGGAGGAGGAGGAGGAGGAGGAGGAGGAGGAGGAGAGGAAGAGGAAGAGGAAGAGGAAGAAGAAGAAGAGGAAGAAGAAGAGGAAGAAGAAGAAGAAGAAGAAGAAGAAGAAGAAGAAGAAGAAGAAGAAGAAGAAGAAGAAGAAGAAGAAGAAGAAGAAGAAGAAGGACGAAGAGGAGGAGGAGGAAGAGAATGGGATGTGAGCACACATAATTCTGTAAGGAACTCTAGTGTGAGTGGAGCACAGTACTGCAGGGAAAAGATGGGCGTGTTGGTGTAGGTATGTAATCCCAGCACTTGAGGTGTAGAGACAGGAGGATCAGGAGTTCAAGGTCCGCCTTAGTTACACAGGTAGTTCCAGGACCTCCTGAAGTTCAAGAAACCTTGTCTCAAAAAAAAAGGGATGGTAAGGAAGGCTGGAGAGACGTCTCAACAGTTAAGAGAGCTTTTAACTCTCCCAAAGGGCCAGATTTTGTTTCTAACACTTACATCAGGTTGTTCACAAGCATCTGTAACCCTAGCTCTAGGGTATTTTACACTCCTTCTGGCTACCATGGGCAGCTCCCCACTCCACCCCAACTCAGGTATACATATAAATACATATGGACATACATGCATTCACATAAAATTAAAAAACCTTTAACAAAAGAAGAAAGCTACAATGGGAAGAACATGGAGGTAATTAGTAATCTCTGTGAGTTCAAGGCCAGCCTGGTCTACAGAGTGAGATCCAGGATGGCACCAAAACTACACAGAGAAACCCTGTCTCAAAAAAACAAAACAAAACAAAACAAAAAAGAAAAGAAAAGAAATCTCTAATGTAATATTATGATGTTTATTTTTGTAAGATGAAGGAAATCACAATATGTTTGCTTGGTTTCTCAAAGAATAACACTAATGTGGCAGAGGAGAGAAAGAAAATCCCTAGCCTATGTTGTTAGAGAGGAGGGCTTGGCTAATTAGAGACCAGGAGAGTTTGTCTTGGCCACAGAAGAAAGAGTGCATCGGTCTATGGGTGCAGATAAAGATGATCAGGAGTTCTTTTCACTGTATGCATTGTATCAGTAAGAAAGTACAGTCATCAGACATAGGTGGACATGTGGGATAGGCCTTGGAACTGGGAGAAATAATAAAATAATATAGAGAGCTGGAACTCAAATAGTTAGGGGATTATGACATGATTAACAATCTCTGGTTAGGTGTAGAAATTGTGGGAGTTGCCAACCAATGATTGGTTCATCTTGAGACCCATACCGTGACAGGGAGCCCACTTCTGACTCTGCCTGGAGGGCCAGGACCCAGAGAGCCCAGAGACCTAAGATAGAACCAAACATGACTGACAATAAAAAAAAAGTCAACGAAATGATTCCTAATTATATTCTGCTATACTCATTGATTGTTGCCTAGCCCAATTATCATCAGAGCAGCAGCATCCAGCAACTGATGGAAACAAATGTAGAGACCCACAGCCAAACACTAGGCAGAGTTCGGGGAATCCTGTGGAAGAGGACGAGGAAGGATTGTGGAAGCCAGAGGGGTCAAGGACACCATAAGAAAACCCACAGAATCAAATAACCTGGGCTTATAGGGGCTCACAGAGACCGAACCACCAACCAGGGAGCCTGCATGGGGCTGAGGGAGGGAGGGAGGGAGAGGAAGTGATCAGGCGGGGAAAAAATAAATTAATTTCAAAAATTCTGGTTAGTTAACCCGAGTTTAAATTGGCACACGTTGGTGTGGTCATGAGTATTTCTCCAATCACATCTAGTGGAACAGAGAATTCATCGAATTTCCTATAAACAAGATAGGATCATCATCAAGGCTACAGACTCAGGAAAAACAATCATTGAAGAAATAGAAAATGAAACAAACCAAAAAAAAATGGACTATGAAACATAAACTTTGGAAGAAGGTGAAGTATCGATTTGTTAAGATTTACGGGCTACAGGTTACAGTAGAGAGGAAGAATTATCAAAATTCAGTGATTTGGGGGAAAAAAGATTTTGAAGGCTGCACTGCACATGGCAATGAGGTCTGTGTTGTGAGCACCTGATGACGCCAAGCAGAGGGCAAGTTAAGAGATCAAGAAAATGATGACTGTGACAATGAATCCACATTCTAAACGGATTTTGACATCACCAAGAATTAGGAGAGAGGTAGTGTTGAGAGCAGTAGTGATCCTGGAGCTAAACCTACGAAGTTTTGAGATAGTAGTTAAAACAAAAAGAGACATAGTATGTCCTGTACTTGATACTGTGAACACAAGCTGGTGGCTTCAGCCAGGAGGGAGAGAGATGAACAATGGGGATGAGGAAGGAGGAAGCAACAGCTTTGCCCTTCCTAATGTTTAGTGTCTATGGGTGAGGATGCAGGCTCGCTGGTGAGCCAGGTTTGGAAGGAGGCATCCTTAGAGAGGAACCGGGTTGGGTGCTAATACCACACGCTATCAACTATATTCCATGATACAAAAACTTGAGCATGCACACATATATGGTGATATTTTATTTGTATTAAAATGTTATTTGTATGTTAATAAATAAAGTTGCCCGGGGGTCAGAGCTATTAGCAAGCCATAGGAAAGCAGGGCAGTGGTAGCGTACGCTTGTAATTCCAGCACTTAGTAGGCAGAGCTGGGTAAGTCTCTGTGTGTTCAGGGATACAGCCATTATTGGATACACATGCCTTTAATCTTAATACCAATCATGGAAAATCTGGAGGCCTATACAGACAGGCTGTGAGGAGGCGGTCATGTGGTTGGGTTTACAACCAATGAGAAGGCAGGACAGGAACTCTATATAAAGACTTTAACACAGGGGTAGCTCTGGTTCGGAGAGGTAGGACCACTGCAGGAGGAAGGGTAAGGTTTTGGCTCTTGGCTCTGACCTCTTGGCTTTCTTCTTTGCATTGGTTCTGTGTTTATTGTTTGATGGGAAGGTTGGATACATCTACATTTGGCGCCCAACGTGACAAGAATTCATTAAAAACCGATTGGCTTGGCTTGGCGGCAGGTCTGGTTTCCAGCCTGGGCAGCCCGGCTGCCTAGCTTGGGCCCAGGCCTGACTGACCCGCAGCTGGAACTGCTACAAACAACTCAGACCTGCCCCGCTGAACAGGGCCCCTGCCTGTAAAGCCAAGGCTTGACTCGGCTCAAGTGGCTACACTTTCTCTCTCTCTCTCTCTCTCTCTCTCTCTCTCTCTCTCTCTCTCTCTCTGGATTCACACCTTGAACACCAGGTGGCTGTGAAATTCCCTGGGATTCTACTGTTCTACCCAGACTTGGTAAGTCAATTAACATATCTATTTAAAAGAGAATTTTTTTCTACATTAAAAAAAAAAATGGGCTTTATGTGTACATTGGAAGAAAATTGGGCTTTGTTTGAAATTTTAGGCACTCTGACAATGGAACAACTATATGAAAAGATTAATATTGATCGAATTATTCAGTTTATTACTTTTCTTATCCTCATTTTACTATTTAAAAAGATCGTCAACTTAAGTGCCAGGATAACAGTCTTAGAAAAACTTGTTAAACCGGTAAAAATGAATTATACAGAAATTCAAATTCAGACAGAAGAAATAAATAGTGAAGTTGTTTCAAAATTGGATCGTAAGGTTACAGAAAGAAAGCCAGTTTTCACACAATCACCCTTAATTTATCCAGTAGCCATACAGCAGCTACCTGATGAAGAGAATGAACAAAATACTTGGGTTCCAGTTGAAATGTTAGACTTAGGAAGATTTAAGGAGGCAATAGCATCTTATGGCATGCACTCCCCATATGTAAAGCAAATGTTAAACACCTGGTCAACTTGTAATAGGATTATACCAAAGGACTGGCGGGAATTGGCACAGGCTGTTCTTGAACTCGGACAAAATCTCCAGTGGAAAATGTGGTTCAGTAATGAGGCTAAAAATATAGAAAGACAATGGAGGGATAGCGGAATACAAGTCTGCCAGGATCAGCTTATTGGCGAAGGCCAATATGCTTCAGTACAAACACAATGTTCATATGATGTCCAAACCCTACTTCTATGTAAAACGGCAGCTTTGAATGCATGGGACAGAGTTGAAGAACCAGGAAAAAAAACTGAGTCATTTACAAAGGTTATACAGGGCCCCAAAGAATCTTTCACAGACTTCTTACAAAGATTGACTTCAGCAGTACAAAAAATGGTCCCGAATTCAGAGGCTAGTCAGATAAT